TAACAAAATTTATTATGTGGTACTTGACAAAATTTGAATGAAGCATTTTAACTATATACTCTAAAATGGGGGTGGGGGGGGGGGTTTGTTAAAATACTCAATAGTTTGAACACTGTACAGTACTATTTGACCAAATTATGAAAAGAGTGTCATTATTTACCATTCATCTAAATCAATCAGTTGAAAATCCTCTGATATTACTTCATAAAATGAATTTGTTTCCTTCATGAAAGACCTCTGGTTTCTCAGGTTTTGTATAATTTTGGAAATACAATCCTGTCACTTGAAAGTTGAAACAAAACTTTTCATTGTATATGTTCTGCAAAACAATGAATGCATTTTTAATATTTTTAATTCAATATTATTTGATGGAATCTTTTTTGCTGAGTGCTGCTTGCAGTTTGTAATGGTTGCTTTTTTGCTGAGTGATTTAGGGTTAGGAAATTTGAATCAATTTTTTATTATTAAATTCCATCTGTCTATGCAATATTTTTTCATGAAAACATCTAAAAAAAACTTTAAAAACGCAAGAAAAATTTTGCAAAATAAGATGGAAAGCAAAGACTAACACAATCAAGAATTTTATGAAAGCTTTCTATCCTCTTGAAGCCTGATTTTCACTTGTCATGTAGTCTGTTATCCGAAACATGGAACTGATCTTAATTGGGTCAAGTCTATATGTACACAGATGCACACTTACAAAGTCCATTATGCGAGGCATACACTATCAGGATTAACACAGTTGAATTTTTTATAATTTCCAACACATATTCCCCTCCAAAAATCAAACATAATTTTCACCACAAATTCTACACTTGAATTAAAAAAACAAAACTGATTCTTTGGGCAAAATGTGAAACTGTGCGAATATATGAAAACCCGGTGTGTGTATCCGAGCAACATGAAGACTATGATGAGAAAAAGCTTCTCTTCACCTTTGAGCTCAAGGTTTGTGTTCTGGAAGTCGTTCAGGCAAAAGAAGACGTGTTGCGTTGGAAGAGTGCCAAAACGTGCTTGGGACGCAGAAATTTTTTGCGGGATGCACAAGACTCTTTTTTTTTTTTTATGCGCAATGAACGGCCTGCTGCTGAGCCGGTCATGCCTTGTTCCACTGTGGTGCCTTCTGCTGGATGCCACAGCACCACTCCTGCCATACAGTTGGCGCCTTCTGTATAGACTTTTTTTTTTTTTTTATGCGCAATGAACGGCCTGCTGCTGAGCCGGTCATGCCTTGTTCCACTGTGGTGCCTTCTGCTGGATGCCACAGCACCACTCCTGCCATACAGTTGGCGCCTTCTGTAGGATATCGGGTCAAAGCATTACATATGGTTTGAATTATGTTGCATATGAAATAAGACAAAAATTATATAAATGTTCAGGGGGAAATAAAGTCAATTGAATACAGATATTTTAGGTGTTGAATTGTGTTGTGAAATATGTCACAACATCTACATAAATTTTAAGGAGAAAATAAAGTCAATTGAATACATATATTTTAAGATTTTAATTAAGTTATGAGTTTAACTCATAAGTTATTTTATGAGTTTAAGTAAGTGCAATAAATATGACAAAATTATGTAAATGTTCAGGGAGAAATTGAAGTCAATTGAAAACATATATTCTATAAGTTTAATTATGTTGTAACAAATATGACAAAGTTATGTAAATTTTCAGGGATGAGAAATAATTCAATTGAATAAAGATATTTTATGGGTTGAATTGTGTTGTAAAATATGTCACAAAAAATATATAAATGTAGAGGGGAAAAAGTCAATTGAATACAGATATTTTATGGGTTGAATTGTGTTGTAAAATATGTCACAAAAAATATATAAATGTAGAGGGGAAAAAGTCAATTGAATACAGATATTTTAGGAGTTTAATTATGTTGTGAGAAATATGACAAAATTAAGTAAATGTTCAGGGAGAAAAAAAGTCAGTTGAACATAGATATTTTATGGGTTTAATTATGTTGTGGGAAATATGACAAAGTTATGCAAATGTTCAGGGGGAAATAAAGTCAATTGAATGCAGACATTTTATGGGTTGAATTTTGTTCTAAAATATGTGACAAAAATTATGCAAATGTTCAGGGGGAAATAAAGTCAACTGAATGCAGATATTTTATAAGTTGAATCATGTTGTGAAATATGTCACAACGATTACATAAATTTCAAGGGAAAAAAGTCAATTGAACACAAATATTTGATAGGTTGAAATATGTTGTGAAACATATGACAAAATCACTCTATGTAAATGTTCAGGGGGAAATAAAGTCAATTGAACACAGATATTTTATGAGTTTAATTATGTTTTAAGAAATATGAGCCAATGTCCGTATGTTGGGCCTGATTTTTTTGTTTTATTTTCAAGTGTCCCTAAGTTGAACTGTCCTTATTTATGGGCATCTGCATATTGTGGTCTCACTGTATTCTGCTTGACA